AGAATTCCCAAATTTAAAGACTCAATCAAAAAAATGGGCATCTAAAGTGAATAGACACTTCTCAGGTGAAGAAGTTGAAATTGCAAATAAATATATGAAAAAATGTTCAAAATCACTGGTCATTCGAGAGATGCAAATTAAAATACTGAGATTCCATATCACTCCAGAAAGAATGGCTATTATCAAGAACTCAAACAATAACAAATGCTGGCGGAGCTGTGGGGAAAAATGAACCTTCTCCACTGTTGGTGGGAGTGTAGACTGGTGCAACCACTACGGAAACCAGTGTGGAGATTCCTCAAAAAACTAAAACTACAGGTTCATTTGACCCAGCTACTCCCCTTTCAGTATCTTCCTGAAATAATAAAAGCATCACACCACAGCAATATATGCACACCCATGTTTATATTGGCACAATTTGTAACAGCTAAGTTTTGGAAACAACCCAATTGTCCATCAACTGATAAAAAGATAAAGAAGATGTGGGGTTTTTTAATACAATGAAGTACTAGTTTTTTCATACAATGAAGTACTATTTTTTAATACAATGAAGTATTATTCTGCCATAAAGGAGGATAATTGAAGATTTCTAGCAAAATGGATGCCTCTTGAGACCATACTCTTAAGTGAAATAAATTGGACACACATGTATAAATACTGCATTGTTTCTCTAGCATGAGACACTGAAAGTATAAATAAGGACCAAAATGTATGCCAGCTATTGGGAAATGGGAAGAAAATGTTCAAATGGGAAAGGGGACAAGGGAAGGAGGAAAGAAGGAAGGGACAAAAAAAATAGAATAGAAGGAAAAAAACAAAAACAAAATTTTTGTGAATAAGGAGGGGAAGAGGGGTTGAACAAAGGGGAGGAGAATGGTAAAAAAAGAAAAAGCTATATTATGTACAGGGTACAAATTCCCTATGATATATGTTATCATTATGTATATCTAAAGTGTACCAATAAAATTAAAAGAAAAAAACCAATCAAACAAATAACAAAATCATATGACTGTTTAGTTAACCTGTCTCTAAGAGACTATATCAAATCTTTGGGAGGGTAGAGAAACAATGAGGCAATACATTTGGCTTTTTATTAGATATTTCCATATTAATTACTCCAACTCTGGTATATTAACTAATTTCAAATTTAAAAAAATTAATCAGTTTTAAATGTAAAAAGCCTACATTTCCATTGATAACCAAATGTACAGAAAAATGTTTAGGCTAGTAAGTCAAAGGAAAGAAAAATTTATATGCACAAAAATATTCATTCAACACCAAACTTAAATATGTTCATTTATAATTCATATATAGACATGGAAGGAAGCTCCCCTGCCTCCATCCCAGGCTCCTAGGGCAGAGAAGCTCAGCTGGTCCCAGCACCCAGAAGGAAGCTCCCCCACTGCCATCCCAGGCTCCTAGGGCAGAGAAGGTGAGCCGCGTGGGTGCCAGAAGCACCCCACCCCCCGTGGAAATGAGAAAACACATAAACAAGCCTCAAAAACAGAGTTCCA